TTACACATAACATTAACAGTTAACTTAGAGTGGTGGAAATTGGAAAACTTACCTCACATGAGTGCCGGAGACCGAGAAAGCTCAAAGAGGCCAGAGGAGTGGAGGCGCGAAGTGGTGCCAACAGCCAGCAGCGGAGGAGTGGACTGTGGAGGAGCGAAGTGGTGCGAACGCAGCGAACCGTCACTAACAATGACAAATGAATCCAGTGCCTAGTGGGAGTTGGGAGAGACTGAGAGAGCTTGGAGTGACCGACAGGTAACTGGAGTAGAGGCTAGAGGCGTAGAGCGATTTTGGAAAGAGCTTTCGTCGAGTCAAGAGAGAGACGGGAGAAATGAAGAAATGAAGAAGTGAAGAAGTTGGGGACTGGGTTATAATTTCTTTATATTTCATTTCATTTAAAAAAAAATTCCCAAAATCCTGGGGGGGCACGTGCCCCCCAAGTCCGCCAGTGGTGGTCGGCGTTGGGCTAACTGTGATGATGACTTCTTTGACTAGATCTCGACTGTTAGACTGTATGAATAATTTAAAAAAAAAAAATTCCTCTCCACTCAAACACTTGGTTGAAGATAATGTATTTTTGAGTTTTGGTATTTAACTTAACTTTTTGTGCTTTTAACTATTTTTTTAATGATCAAATGCCATTATGAAAATATGGCCGAGTCAACTGACCATTTCCTTGTATTTTCTCGTAGTATTACTACTATATAATCTTCAACATCAGTAAACTGATGATGTGATATGTGTGTGTGTGTATCCCTACTCTCTTAAAAGAGAGGGTTTGAGGTTTACTGTTCATTCTTGATTTTCCCTCACAGATTACTGTTGCATGTACTGTCAAAAATTCCAATTAGCCTTCCAAAAGGATTTATTGACTTTGGAGTACTTCAATTTCTCATACTCTTTTTGTATAGTCGGATGAAGAAAGAATTGATATTTTTATAGTCGGTTTGTATTTTTAAAATCCATGTGTATTGGTTATTCCATTCTGCTATCGTCCTCTCCAGCTTCTACAATTTTATTTTATTACCGTCCTCTTGAGCTTGTAGGAATAAAAAAATTTCAAGAGCAGGTCTTATAGCACAGAAACCTGCGAATTTCTTACTCTTTATATTGCTTCTCACTGTAAGTAGTTATGCAAAAGTTATTTCTCCTTCTATTACTTTTGGCAGTGGAAGAAAAATTTAGAAATATTGTTTAGAAGTATCTATTATGAATTATTAAATATTTGTATAAATTTACACAATGAGATGTATATATATAGATCAAATTGTGTTTTCAATGATGATGATTTTATTAAGATCTGTTATTTCTGTGTTTATCTATATTTGCACTGTAATATTAATATTTTAAATAAATAAATAAATAAAAAATAGCTATTCTCAGTTTCACTTCGCACAAATATGGAATAGACACTCTGCATCTGTGCGGAGTCGCTCTGCACAATGCGGAGTGTTGTGTGCGGAGTTGCGGAGTGGCACTCCGCACAAATGCGGAGTAATACTCCGTTACTCCGCACAAATGCGGAGGAGCCATCAAAGACCATAGCAAGTAACCTGAGAAGATGATTAAATGAACATGTTTGATAAGGAAAGATGCATTAATCAACATATATTGAAGGCGAATAAATAGAATCTTGGTTCAAGTCTGATGGTAACAAGTTGGAATAATATATATAACAGAGATTCATAGATCACATCATGCTAATAAAAATAACTATATCATACTTCATTTTAGGGCCAAAAAGCAGTTTTAGAAGATGCCTTATTATAGTCTCACATGGAATTTTTCGTAAACATCCATAATTAAGTTTATTTTGAAACCCACTCGCAAAATAAACTTATTCAAAGCTTCCATTCCCAGCTATACAGCCAGAAAAATGATTNAGTTGAATGTGGATTTTATTCTTCATCTCTCACTATCTATATTTGTCATTTCTCTATCTTCCTGTTTATTTTTTACGGTGGGAAGTGCTTATGTTGAGAGCTTATGGCAGGTCTTCATTGTTCACTTTTAGATCTTGATGGGGTAGATTGTCTATTTTTGTATTGGTACATTCAAAATGAAACACTGACTTATAGGAAATGAAACAATAAATACAATTTGTGACTTTAATTACTTGCAAAGTGCAATATGGGCAACTGAAAGATGGTCAATGCTCTGGAAATACAGGTTGGAGATAAAACCAATCATTTGAGGGTACTCATGAAGTCCTCAGACTTGTTGAAGCTCGTGTATACAGTACGGATGAAGTTTGGGAACTTTTTGAGTTAGAGAACTGAGTAAGATCTGTTGGATCCACCAACTCGAATGAATTTAGTAGTCGTTCTCACTGGTAATTTTTAGCAGCTTCTGTGTGTCTATTTCAATTATTCTTTTTTGTTTTTTACAATAGAGGAACATCATTCCTATCCTTTTTTGATTTCTCAATTTTTGTTCCAAATTTGAATCAATTCTATTACATCATTGTTGCACATGAGAACTCAACCGTCTTGGTTTGTGAAATTCTAATGGTTAATGCTGGAATTATATTAACAGCATAGTCATTGGGCTTTCAGTTTCTCTCTTGTTGGCTGGCTTCTCCAATTATATGCAAAGTCTGAATTGATAGAGAATCACTACAATATCCTTACAAGTAGTATTTGGCATAACATTGTAAATAGATAGCTCAATAAGTAAATAGATTATGTTTTTTATGCAGATATCTTTGGAATATATATTTTCTCCAAACCAATGGTTTTCTGCTACTATCACTCAATTTCCAAATTATGAATATCTTAAATCCAACAATAACAGGTAACTTCAATTTCTTGAATTTTAATTGATTCTCGTAGTTGTTTCTAAGTTTTATTTTTGGCATTTTTTGATTCTTTTTTCTTACTTTTTTTTGTGATTTTTGTTGATGGGTAAATTCTAGAAAATGCAGACTGAATTTACTCTTCTTTAATTTAAATTTACACAATGAGAAGTATAAATATAGATCAAGTTGTGTTTTCAATGATGATGATTTTGTTAAGATCTGTTATTTCTATGTTTATCTATATTTGCACTGTAATATTAATATTTTAAAAAAATAAAAAAATAAAAAATGGCTATTCTTAGTTTCACTCCCCACAAATGTGGAGTAGACACTCTGTATCTGTGCAGAGCGACTCTGTACACCGCTGAGCTCTTCATAATGCGGAGCTTCACTCCGGATTATGCGGAGCTTAGCTCCGCACGAGTGCGGAGTTATGCGGAGTGACTTCGCACTATTGTTGCTCTGCATGATGCGGAGCATCTGCGGAGTTGTTTGAACTCCGGAAGTAAAAAAATAAAGACATTCTACGGCAATAAATGAAATAAACAATCAAACCTGAGCAGGAGGCAATGATGAAACCCAATCCGATACGAGAGTTGGAAGAAGACCCAAAGTATTAAGCTGCCAACAACAGAGAATTTGGTTGGCATTGAAGTAATTCTATGATAAAATTTACAATGACTTGTCCAATTTTAAAAAGGAAGCAACCTTCCAGATGCACAGTCCTAAACCAACCAAATTAAGAGCAACAGATACTAATTTAGGTGCTAGGAGATCCATTCTATTGTCCTTGTAAGGCTCAAAAACTATCAATCAAAGCAATGATAGTTAGCATGGTTTAATCACAGAAGAAACATAAATATTAGAAGCCAATAGAAATGTTGATATTATAAAGAAACTTCATAAAAATGTAAAACTAAAAGTCATGGATTAGCTCATAGTTTACTAAAAAAAAATTATTAAAAGAAATGGCAATCAAACCTAGTATCTGACTCTCAATGCGTAGCGTAAAAACTGGAGAAAAATTGACGCCATAAATTTACCATTTTTAACCGTAAAAACCGAAGAAAAATGAAATTGAGAGAAATTTGTGTGAGTATGGAGGTCGAGTGTGAGGTGGGGTAGAAAAGAAAAATTAACGATTATGATTTTACGTTTAATAATTTAAACTT